GCCACCGTTCCGTAGGGGCTGAGTGGAGTGCCCTCAGGCCCCTTCGAATGCAACGTGCTGTGTCCTGCGCACGCTATTCAAGGAGCCCGCAGCCCCGGGTTCCGGAGGCGGTCGGGCGCTCATGGGAATCGCCGCGAGACTTTTCCAAAGGCCTCGGCAGCTTTAGCTCTGGATGCTTAATCGAAAAAGAACCCCTAACCCTTCGGGAGGGGACCTAAGTTAGAAGGGCCAAGACATTCAGGGATAGGGGGTCTTTTCTGCAGATGTATCAGGCCAAGCCGCCCAGATTTATTATACCTCGTGAGAAGACGGGGACCTCAGTGAGGCCGCGTCTTCACCGTGTCATCAGGGTTAGTGGTGCATTCATGCTCGATGACTTGACGCGTATCCCCAACATCTCCCAGGGTGGCCCCTGGATCCTGTCGTGGAGCCATCTGGGGGGCCTCGCAGGGCCGCAAGCCCTCGGGGCGGGCCCAAGAGGTGCAGCTCGCCCTGCCTGCGCCCTGGGAGGGTGCAGTGACGGCCCCAAGAGGCTCCCGAGATCGCCCGAAGACGGCTCAAGAGGCTCCCGAGAGGCCCAAGAAGGCCCCAAGAGGCTCCCAAGAGGCTCCCGAGAGGCTCCGAAGAGGCCCCCGGGCCTCCCAGGAGGCTCCCGAGAGTGCAGTGACGACCCCAAGGGGCTCACAAGAGGCTCCCAAGAGGCACCAAGAAGGTTCCAAGAGGGGGAAGCTCAAGCTGATTTCGAGCCCCCCACCCCAAGATGCCCCCAGGAGCCCCCCAGAGGCTCCAAGAGCCCCCCAAGCGGCCCCAGGCACGGTGGCGGGATGAGCCGAAGGCCACTTGACCTGCTTGGCACGGGGCACGGAAAGCGCAACTTACTTTGTGAAGGCGCGAGATAGATGACTTATCCGTTCTTCCTCCTATTACATCCTCTCTTCCCCTCGCCGTGGTGGCATGCTTGGGGAATAATGGGGCCCCCTTGGGCAATATTGGTCTCGGGCCGCGTTCGGGGCCGTGTGAGCCGTCTTTGAGTCCGCTTGGCAGCCCCACGGGGACAATGTGCAGAAACCAAGTGTGTTCACCGCTTGCACCGCCCGCTCTTCAGAACCATGCGTTGTCCCCGTCTGGACCGTCCGCTGTCCGAATGTAGTGCTTTCCTTGCTTGGACAGCCCGCTTTCCAGAACCATGCGGTCTCCCCTGTTGGACCTGGGAGACTCTATGGCCGTCTTCGGGCCCTCTGGAGCCGTCTTGGAGCACTCTTGGGAGCCTCTTGGGCCGTCTTCGAACGATCTCGGCGGCATCTTGAGCCCACTTGGCCAGTCGGCGGTTGCTTGAAAATGCGAGAATGCTCAAAAACCTAAATGGTGATCCCTGAGTTGTGCCCTTGAAGCCCTCTCGGGGATCCCCTTGGAGCCCTCTTGGGACATCTTGGAGCCTCGTGGGCCGTCCTGGGGCTCTCTTGGGCCGTCTTGGGGCTCTCTTGGACCGTCTCCGTGCCTCACAGGCCCTCTGGAACTGTTTTGAAAGTCACCTTGCACCGTTGTGGGTCCTACTCTAACTCATGATTGCCAGGGCTGCAAGAGATAGGAGAAGGAGTAGATGAGAGGAGGGATGAGGGGGAGGAGCGAAGGGTGCGGAGGACTGTGGAGGAGTGGAGTGGTCTGCGGAGGAGAGGGAATCGATGCGGAGGAGTATGGAGGAATGCGGACGAGTACGGAGGAGTGCGGACGAAATGCGGAGGCACGCGGAGGAGTGCGGAGGTGTGTGGAGGAACGGGCACGGACGGGACGGCGCGCGGAAGACGGCGGAAGAATGGTCAGGATCGGAGCGAAAGTGGAGAAGAGGGAAGGAGGAGGAGAGGGGAGGAGCGGGATCCATGGGGAGGGGTGCGGGGGAGTGCGGGGGAGGGCGGGCGTGTGGTTAAGAATGAAATGGACGGTGGAAGAGTGGGGAGGAATTGGAGGAATGCGGGGGAAGATGGAAAAGTGCGGAGGATGGCGGAGGAATGCAGAGCGGTGGAATGCGATGGGGGCGGGGGAATGCGGAGGACTGGAAGAGTGGGAATGGGTGGACAAGAATGCGGAGGAGCGCGGAGGAGGGCGGAGGAGGGGTGAGGAACGGAATGGAGGGTGAAAACTTGGAGAGGAATGGGAGTAGTGCGGAAGAAGGCGGAATAGCGCGGAGGAGGGCGGAGGACTGTAGAGGGGTGGACTGGGTTGGGGAAGGGTGCGGACGAGGGCGGAGGAGGGCGGAGGAGTGGATGAGCGGGAACAGATGAGGAGAAGTGCGGAGCGGTGCGGAAAAGTGCGGAAGAGTGCGGAGAAGGGCGGAAGAATGGTTAGGATTGGAACGGGGGACGGGGGAAAGGCCTGGAGACCCCGGAAATGCCGACGGGTCGCCTGGGCATCGTCGATCGATGGGATAACGCGAAGCATTCGGCATTCAGACGGCACGGCGGCCCCAGACCCCGGCGCGGCTGAGACCCAAAAACTGGCCACGGGTCGCCCGGGCATCGTTGATGGACGGGCTGGCGGGGATAACGCGAAGCATTCGGCGGTCAGACGGCACGGTGGTTCTACGCGGCGGCGTGGCGGGACAGGGCGCGGTGGACAGAGCACGTTACCTCGACCGAACCATCCGCGCAATTCCTCCACGCTGCCTGACTGGGCACACGCGCACACCGCGACGCGGCGACGGCGACGGTGGCGACGACGACGGCGGCGACGACGGCGACGACGATGACGGCGACGACGATGACGATGGCGATGATGGTGATATATGGCGACGCTGATGACGACGATGGGGTGGACGGATGCGCTTCGAACCACATGCGACGCACGGCGTGGTTGCCCAGGAACGGCGCCGCGCAAGATGAACTATGCATTCGATGGCGCTACGACCACGGCGGGCGCATGGCTGCGCGTACTGGCTGGGCCTGGCGGCGGCACAGGTATTAGCAGCAGTGCTGGACTGACAACTCAGCACGGCGACGCGTGCATGACTGCATGTGCAGCGCTGGGTGGGCCTACCGGCGGCACTAGTATTAGCCGCGGTGCTGGACTGACAACTCAGCACGGCGGCGGCGACTCGCAACGAGCCAGCGGCTGCTGCCTCAAAGGGCAACTATTCAGCGGCACCGCAAATACAAAATAGAGCAGCAGCGGCTGCAGCGCGGGAAGTCCTACACGCGCGCCTCCTGCGGGAGCGGGGTCTGCCAGACACGCGCGGTGACGCGCTCGGCCATCGCCTGGTTCAGGCGCATCATGACAGCGGGGCGTGGGCGCACCGCACCACATACAAGGGGGAATTGCTCGTGTAGAAGAGCAGGGCTGTGTTCCGATGGGACATTTTCTTTTTGGGCACGCGGGTATCCATGCGTTCGCCCACGAGCATGGACAGCAAATCCGCGAAGAGGATGGCGGCGTCGCTACGCTCCCAGCCCTGCCACAGCAGCACCTGAGAGGACAGAAAGCCGACACCAACACCAAGAAAGTTATTTGTTTCCAAACAAAAAAGATTTGCGATGCGGGCCTGCGCGAGCCCGTCCTGGCCCTCGGAATCGCGGGGGGGGGTCGGGGAGGAGGTGGAAGGGAAACTTCGCGCAGCGCGCGGGAGGGAGGGCAGGACACAAAAAGCGCAGACGAAGGGCGAATTCGACGGGCGTTCTCGGGAGAGGGGGGGCCAGAGGGAACGGTGCGGTTTCCTCCGTTACCCAGGCCCCCCACTCCACCGCCGCCGTCCTCCGCGCCTCCCCCCGCCCGCGCGCCCCCCCCTGTCTCTCCCCCCTCCACCCGCCCCCTGCCCGCCCCTAGTCGCATCCCCGACGCTCTGCGAGCCCGAGGGCGGCACCCGACGGCTCCGATTCCACCGCCCATCCCCCGCGCCGGGGGGGCCCCCAAGCTGCCCTGCGCGACCGGGGCCCGAGAACCCCGGCCCGCGGGCCCCGGCCAACTTCCGAAGTCGTCGAGAGGCTCCGCTCCACCCGCCGCTCCATCGGGAGCCTTGGCGCCGGCGTCGGCTTCGTCGCCCGGGGCGAAAATCCGGCACCGGCACAATGACCCCACCGGACAAGTTGGCGGCCATTTCCCTGCGGGGGCAGGGCGGCCCAGCGGAGCCCGCACAACGCGAGGTGGCTCGCATTGCTCGCCGAATTCACAAACACTGGGGCTCGCACGACAAGAAACGCCCCATAGGGCCCAAGGCGACCTCCAGGGCCCGCGGGGACGCCATGGCCCGCGGGGCTCGCAAAGCCCAGAAACCCGACGCGACCCCCGCGACCCAAGGGGCCTATGGGGGCCGCGCGGCTCGCCGGGCTCGCGGCGCATTGAGCCCATGCGCGTTGCGGCGCCCACGCGGCCAAGGAAACCTTTTTCTGGGACTTGCGCCGCCCCTGGGGCCGGCGAGGTTCGCGCGGCCCACGGGCCGCGCGCGGGCCACGGAAACCCTAGAAAGTTCACTGTGGGAACTAGGGAAGTCGCGCTGCCCCCACGCGCGCAAGGCTGACATCGATCGACGCGGGACACGCGAGCCCGAAGACGCGGGCAACGGCATTCAGCAAATGCTTTGAATTTTTCTCTGCCACAGGGGATCTGGGAGTCGGCGTCGGGCCCCGGTGCCCCGAGTACCTGTGAGTTCAGGACGGCCGCCAGCGGGAACGAAGACTTCGCCCGGGGTTTGCCCATGACTTTGAAAACGCTGTCGAACAGCTCGAACTGCATGGACTGTCCGCACCCGGGCGCCCCGATCACTGCGATGTTCGCACCCCTCGTAGCCCCCGAGGTGAGGGCGCCGCAGACGCCGGCGCAGAAGCGCTGGACGTCTTCCCCGCTGTTCTGCAGAACCCTCGGGGCCCGCGCGCCCCGGCACGCGCAGCCCACCTCGGAGGCGGCAAAGCGAATGAGATCCATCCGCATTGCCGCCCTCATGGCAATCGCCCGCGGCGCCTGCAAGACGGGGCGGAGGTTGCCAAGTCGCTCAGCTTATCCTCGCCCTGCGCCGCGCAGAACTGCGCGAGGCTGGCGTCGCCTTCGTTGGCCGCGTAAGCTGCTAACCCTTGCAACTCCAAGACCGCCCTGATGCCCTTCTCCTGAACCAAGGTGAACACGTCGCCCTGGCGCGCCCTCTTGGCGCGAGTCTGCCCAGTCTCGTCAGCGCGCCGCTTCCTGGCGCTGGCGCGGCCCCTTACACCGGCGATGATCTTCACGGCCTCGCACCCCGGGTCGAGCCGCAATTCCTTGGGCTGAACGACGCAGCCGTCAGCCAGGCCCTCGCACTGCTGACGACAAGCCCCCCGGACTTCCCGCGCCGCCGCATGCAATCTCCCGCGAGCGGTGGCGTAGGCCGGGAGCGTCCTGCAATCGATGTGCACATGGACTGACTTTTAAGCCAGAAGCTGGCTGGTTGGCTTGTCCTTGTACTTCCTCGCAAAGGCCAAACGTTCTCGACGATCGGCCTTAGTCAGCAACGGCTTGTAGTCAGCAATGGATTGGCCCGAAACCTCCGAAAATTGACTCCTTCCTTCGCCAAGGCCTTCCGCAGCGTCCTGTCGGAACACCTTACACGCGCGCTGCATGATCGCGGGTAACATTACCTCATACCGGGCCCCAGCCTTTGTCACCATCGCCCGTAGCACACACACACAACATGGCTGAGCTGCTTCTCGGTAAGAGCGAACGGGCGGCCACGCCGAGGCATGGATATGCGGTTGGCCGAGATGTCCAGGGCACGGTAGACCGTGGTTCTGGAGCGGCCCACAGCGAGCGCAATCTGCGCGATTGCCATGTAGAGGAGGTTGCGCATCCGTTGGATAATTTGAATCTCGCGAAGCCCAACGGGCTTCCGGCATAACATCTTGGCAGGCAGTGCGTCTGATGGCGGCGTGCGCACGTCAGAGGGGCGGCCTGGTGCCTTGGGCAAAATGGCCTGCAACGGAGTTCGAACGACCACAAGTGGGCAATGCGGGTCATGCTTGCCCTGTGTATCACGGAGGCATACATATGTATATATAAATATATAAATACATACATACATACATACATACATACATACATACATACATACATACATACATACATACAGCAGTTGTGTTCTTGGGGGCATCCCAAACATCATCCTGAACTGCCCGGCACACTACCAGGTGGGCTGCATACACGAAAATTATGACACGCTTCGTGCTTCCACATGGACAACGCAGAACGAAAGTTCCAACGGTGGGTGTGGGAAGGGAAGGAGGACCAAAGGACCGTTCCCACCCCTGTAACCGTCGGTGGCCGCGGGATGATGACGATGAGGGTTTACCCTCTCCACCAACGTCCAAGAGCGCAGGCGGCGCCTGGTTGTCCATCGCGGCCCTGCGCGGGCGCGGCGACAAGAATCACGAAAAATCATGGTGACACAGTGTAATTTACACTGGGGCTCCTAGATTTCGATCCCGAGTTCCCCCTCTGGGAAGCTGGGAGCGCGGGTTTGTCGGCCACCCACCCGCGACGGGACCCACCCCGCCCACGTGAAAGTCAGAAGGGGAAGCAAGGTGCAGCCTGCGGCGTGGCGCCCCGAAAGCGAAAGCGAAAGCGACCCGCGCGCACGACCCGCGCCCGCGACTCGCACCAGCGACCCGCACTCGCGACCGGCGTCCGCGACCAAAGCTCGCGACCAAAGTCGGCCACCCGCGCTGGAGACCGCGCCCGTGACAGGCGACGTGCGCCCTTGGTGGCTGCCTCAATGACCGGTTTCCTGCGAAACGTGCCCGCTCTTGCTGGGTGGCGGCCCGGTCGGCTGCATCTCTGGCTGCATGGTATGCTGCCTGGTTGGCTGCCTAGCTGGCTGCCTGGTTGGCTGCCTCATCGGCTGCCTGATTGGTTGCCTGGTCGGCTGCCTCGTGGGCTGCCTCGAACAGGGAAGCAGGTGCAACCCGCGACATGCGACCCGCGACTGTCGCCCGCGCCCGCGACTCGAGCCATCGACCCGCGCTCGCGACCAACGCTAACGAACGACCCGCGCTCACGACCAGCGCCCGCGACCCGCGCTCACGACCAAAGCCCGCGTCTCGCGCTGGAGACCCGCGCCCGCGACCAGGGAACCATGCCCTTCTGAGCTGCCTTGTCGGCAGCCTGTCTGACTGATATGCTAGCTGTGTCACACTACATGTCAATATGGCCGCTGTCTTGCAGAAGGCCTTACCCGCAGAATCGCTCGGGCGACCCACGAATGGCGGACCAAACTTAGAAATTAGACGGCACAGGGAAACAATTAGCGAACACCCCCCTTGCCCCCCAAACTCAAAGTTGGCACGCGAGGGGGGGGGGGACTGCGGTCGAGGTGCAACTTATCAGACCCACCGCCAACTTTGAACATTGGGGGGAGGGGGAGGCGTTGACAGATGAATGTGGCATGAGTGTTCGCTATTTGTCCGAAGCCTGTCTCGTATTGCTTGACAATGTCCCTAGCGACATCGCTATTTTGCCCAAGAACCAATACGACGTCGACAACCTCTCATTGTTGCGAGGGTCTCCCTAGCGAAATCGCCATGTTGGGCAAGAGCGACGTCGACCACATCTCATGTGTGTGAGGCTATCCGTGGCAAAATGGCAATGCTGGGCGGAAGTAAGGCGTGCTAGGGAGCAATATTGCTGGGCTATGTTGGGCCGTCTTGAGGCCTTCCAAGAGCGATCCCAAAACATCTTTGCTGTTTGAGGATGTCCCTAGCGAAATCGCCATTTTGGCTACTAGATCCCCAGGCATCCGCCTGCCAAACCCCTCAAACTCTTCCTAGCTCCATGTCTTCTGGATAACGGATCGCACGCTATGCGCGCGTCCCGTCATCCCTCCCCATCCGCCTGCCAGCCCCGTATATTAGATTCCGATCATGGATCGGACGTTGCGCGCGCTTCCCGTCATCCGCCGCCCCCTGTTGCCTGCAAGAGGGGCTATTGGCGCGCTGAGTGTCTGACCTCTTTGGCTCCTCCAGATGGTTCCCAGTGGGTGCCACAGAAGTTAAAGGCCGCTACTCATGGACAGCCTGGGGATCCAGGAAAACATGAAGTTGCATGAAAAGATGTAAAAAAATTAGGTGCTGTGAAATAAATGAAAATCTGTCTCCGCTGTATAATCATGCAGGAACCGTCCGCTGGATTGTCGAAGTGGCACGCGGCTCACGCGAAACGCAACAAGTCTGAAGTGGATACGGAACGGGCTGCAGGCGTCCTCAGGCCTCGCCCCCCCGTGTCCATGGTCGCCTGAGCGGCGACCCGCCGGTCACGGCACCGCCGCCCATCTCCAGAAGCTTCCACTAGGGTCGCGGAGCAACCGGTGCAGGCCCCCTTCGTCGGTGGAGCCGGAGTAGCAGACGGCCACCTCCTCCTCCAACGGCCTCGGACTTCCCACCGGCCCCCCCCTTCAGGTGGCCCCAAGATGCCTCAGATGGCATCCAGAAGACAGTCAAGAAGAGCTCCAGAGAGGCCAGGAGGGCTCCATGATAGCCCAAGACGGACCAAGAACGCCCCAAGACGGCCCAAGATGGCCTCAAGGGGGCCCAAGAGACCCACTAGGCGCCCCCCAAGAGGGCTCCAAGGGCACTCGAGGAAAAGAAGAAATCAAAATCACGGCGCCTCGTCATTGTGTTTTGTATGATTTCCGCGTCCTCTCCTTTTCGGGCAAAGAGGCCCCCAAGACGGCCCCAAGAGGGCCCCAAGACTGCCGAGGAGAACTCCACGACAGCCCGAAAGCTCCCCACACAGCCAGAGAAGCACCCAAGACGGCCCCAGGCCCCAGAGGGCCCCAAGACTGGTAAAGAGGAACCCAAGACGGCCGAAGAGGCCCCCAAGACGGCCCCAAGAGGGCTCCAAGACGGCCCCGGAGACCTCCAAGACAGCCCTTAAGGCCCCAAGACGGCCTTCGAAGACCAAGAGGCCCGAAGAGGCCCCCAAGAAGTCCCAAGAGGCCCTCAACAGGCGCCCGAGAGGCCTCTCAGAGTTACCGCTGGCCACCAAGAATACATAGGAAAATGAACCTCACAGTGGCCTTCCGCTCAAATTGCTCCAAGAGGGCCTCCAAAACGGCCAAGACAGCCCAAGAGGGTCCGGCAGACCTCCAACTCCGCCCAAGATGCATCCAAGACGGCCCAAGATGGCCACAGGACGGCCAAAGAGGGCCCAAAGACGGCACAATAGGCATCCAAGAGGCTCTCCAGGAGGGCCCGAAGAGACCAAAATCATTGATTCCCCTTCAGTGTTCTCCGTGCGTGACATTTACACAGGTCGTAGATTCCCCGTCCGTGACGCTGGAAAGACACCTGAGGAGTATCCGCAAGCGTTCGGCATCAGTCAGGAGTGTCCGCTCCCTCCGTTTTTATTCGCAAGACTGATGAACGTCCTTTTGCGCGACGCAGACAGGGAGGCGGAGCCTAGTCTGGATGAGAGCATGCACGTGCACGTACTTGCGCACGCAGATGACACACTGTTGCTAGCCACCACAAGGAACTCAACCGCGGCGCACATGCATACCGTGCAACATGTAGGACAACAGTACAGCTTGCAGCTTCACGAGCGCAAGGTAGAAGCTTTGGCTGTAGATACCGGCGCGTGCACTCTCAAGCTGTATGGCGCCCTGATCCCACAGAAGGGAAGCACACTCAATCTAGATATATTGATCAGCGGCGACGGCAAGATAAGATCAGAGTTGCCGCGACGCCTAGGAGCTGCAGGTGCAGATTCGACGCATTGGCCAGGGTATGGAGCCACTCGACTCTTGCGCAGAAAAAGACTCAAGTGCTTGAGCCGTGCGCTACAAGCACATTCGCATGCTGCCCGAACACACTTCGCCTTTTCACTAAGCTGGAGACGCGCCATCTTGAACGCGTTCCAGGCGCGGTGCTTGCGCTAGCTGTACGAAACCGTGCTCCAACGGGCCAACGCCCGCCCATTCAGCAACACGCTCCTCCGCGGGCAGCTTCATTGCAGTAGCCACGCCGTCAGACAGCCAGGTGACGACACTGTGCGGTGCGCAGTGCTTCAGCCCTTTTCCTCCCTCCTCCTTCCCCCTCCCACCCAAAGAAAAAGAGGGCGCGCACGAGCAATGTGGCCCCAGGAAGTTTACAGGCACGCCTGCGAAGCAGCTGCGGGTGTGGAAGCCCTTCCGGCGCGACGGCAGGACATCATTTCTTCGGCCACGGCGTGGCGGGTCGCAGTCAGTAAATATTGCAATTCCACGTGATGGTGGCTATGTGCTCAGGTGCGTTTCGTACTCAACATTTGGCTTGCTTTGTTGTTATGTTGCTTTTGCGATCTCGCCTTTCGGGCTTCCGACAGCTCAAGACGGCCAAAAAGGCCTCCAAGATAGCCGCAAGATGGCGCAGGGAGGCACAATAGGGTCACAAAAGGGGCCAAGAGCCTTCAAGAACGGCTCCAAGAGGGCCCCAAGACGGCCCAAGAGACCTTCAAAACGGTCATACTATGCCCCAAGAAAGCCCCAGAAGGCCCAGAACGGCCCGCAAGACGGCCTCCGAAGGCGTCTGACGGGCCTAGACAGTCCTAGGACAGCCACGCCCCAAGATGCCTCTGGAGGCCCACTGGGGCCCCTCGGAAGCTCCTCCTCCTCCTCCTCCTTTTCCTCCTCCTCCTTCTTTTCCTCCTCCTCCTCCACCTCCTCTATCTCTTATCCTGAAGAAACAACTCCTCCTGTCGCACCTAGAGACATGTTGATATGGCGGGCTTGGCGTTTCGCCCGAAACTCCATCACCATGTATGATCATTGCAGCAATTTCACTGATGGAGGGCGGGCGGTTTTCAAAAATATGGCTCCCGCCTTTCGTCTTCAAATTTGCAAGAGCAAGAGCTTCACGGATGGAGGGCGTTTCCTTTTCGGAATGTGGCTCTCGCCTTAGCGCCGCGCTCATTCATCATAAGAGTTTACATCAGTTTCAAGGACTATTCTAACTGACGTCCCAAAAACTTCGTTTTGACACGATGTAGGACTGTCAGGGCGCAACGGTCACGTTGCTTCGCAGTGTTGAAGTCCCAGGAATTGCGTTCTGTCAATATTGAGGATCGCCAGGACTCAACAGCAATAATAATTCGCGGCGCTGAAGTCTCAGGAATGGCGTTTTGGCATGGTTCGGGATTTTCAGACGGTTGCCTTCAAACGGGGCACTTCCTCCTGTGAAAACAAATCTGGTAGGGCCATATGCAGAGGGAATTTGGAGGCAGGGCTTATTGCAACATCATTGATAACCTTTTGGTTTACACTGGTCCTCCTCCTCCTCCTCCTCCTCCTCCTCCTCCTCCTCCTCCTCCTCCTTCTCCTCCTCCTCCACTCCCTTGTCCTCCTTCTCATTCCTCTCCTCCTTATTCCCCTCTTCCTCCCCTGAGTGTTCCCCGAAAGGTCTCCACGGCGGCTGGGGGAACAAATGGTCCCATAGCTTAGCCCGGCTTCGGCCCGACCTTTGGCCCCGTGGGCGTATCCAAACAGGCAGAGGGGCGACGGTGGTTCGCCGCAGGCGCCCTTCATACTATTGATAAATTGGTATCAATGCATGTATGAAGTCGGCGCCCTGCGCAGCGGGCGCTCCAGCCAAGATGGCGACGCGCGCGCGCGCCGCGGAAAAGCTGATCAGCATTCGAAAACGACCAGCCAGTCTGCGCTGGACGGGCCCCGAGGTCGATCAAGAGGGAGGGGGGACGAGGGCAAACCCGCGGTCAGAATCGGGATCCACTGGCTCCTCCTCCTCCTCCTCCTCCTCCTCCTCCTCCTCCTCCTCCCTCCTCTCCTCCTCCTCCTCCTCCTCCTCCTCCTCCTCCTCCTCTCCTCCTCCTCCTCCTCCTCCTCCTCCTCCTCCTCCTCCTCCTCCTCCTCCTCCTCCTCCTCCTCCTCCTCCTCCTCCGGGTCGATCCAGACCCAGGTCAATCAGGCCTTGCAAGATCCTGCAGGATCCTGCAGGACTCTGCACCCAAACCCGGGTCAGTGCGACCCTGGCTCTGCAGGATCCTGCAAGATCTGGCGCACTGACTGACCCCGTTTGCATTGATCCCCATCTCTTGAGTCCCGAAAAATTCGCCCGGACCCCTCCCGGGGTCGAAACTGACCAGGCGACCAGTTTTCAGAGCCGCGTCCAGCCGTGGCGACGAAGGGGCCCCTTTCCCCCCCCCTACTGCTGCTGGCCCGAACCGGTGCTGGACCATCTTAGCCCGCTCCTAGCCCCCAGACGGCTCCAATCCTCTCCTTGGCAAGAACACCTTGGGACGCACAAGGACATGCTTGTACTATATATCCTCCTTGGAGGCGCGCGTCCGACCCGAACTTATAGTATACCCATCTTGTAGTACATCGATTCCCGAGCGGTGCGGCCAGAAAGCGCCCGCCTCGACGCCTGCACTGTAATTAGGAGTTCTCGGTGTGCGCGTCGCCGCTGGGGGGCGACGCACCCATCGAATCAGTATGTTGGGGCGACGCGGGCAACAAGCCCGCCTCGCCGCTGAGGCTCAGAATCGGCTCCCAGCTCCGCGTGGATCTCTTAGATCTGCGCTGAACCCTCAAGGGGCGGCGCCGGAAGGCACCGCCAGGGGTACCCCCCTCCTCCTCCTCCTCCTCCTCCTCCTCCCTCCTCCTCCTCCTCCTCCTCCTCCTCCTCCTCTCCTCCTCCTCCTCCTCCTCCCTCCTCCTCCTCCTCCTCCCCTCTCCTCCTCCTCCTCCCCCTCCTCCCTCCTCCTCCTCCTCCTCCTCCTCCTCCTCCTCCTCCCTCCCCTCCTCCTCCTCCTCTCCTCCTCTCTCCTCCTCCTCCTCCTCCTCCTCCTCCTCCTCCTCCTCCTCCTCCTCCTCCTCCTCCTCCTCCTCCTCCTCCTCCTCCTCCTCCTCCTCCTCCTCCTCCTCGCGGAAACCCACGCGGAGCTCCGAAAGTTTCTGTTCACGCTGGCGACTTGTCGCTCGAAGAGTGGCCGCTCGCCTCGGGCAGGGAGCCCACCTCGCCGCCGAGGCTCCGAGCTCGGCCCCCTGGCCCGCGGCGAAGGGCGCCCCTGGCCTGTCCCTTATGCCGCACCGCGTGCGGCCGGAGGAGGAGGAGGAGGAGGAGGAGGAGGAGGAGGAGGAGGAGGAGGAGGAGGAGGAGGAGGAGGAGGAGGAGGAGGAGGAGGAGGAGAGGAGAGGAGGAGGAGGAGGAGGAGGAGGAGAGGAGGAGGAGAGGAGGAGAGGAGGAGGAGGAGGAGGCGAGGAGGAAGGAGGAGGAGGAGGGGGGCGAGGAGGAGGAGGAGGAGGAAGGACACGAGGAGGAGGAGAGACGCCCGCCAACGGCCACCCCGCGAAGGCCAGGCTTCCTCCCTGGGTGATGCCCAGCGCTGTGCACCTGGAGTGTCCGTCAGCACTCTGGGTGGCCCAGGAAGGGGGTCCAGCTGCAAAGTGATGGGCCTGTTTTCCACCACCACCGCCATAAGTTGGAGGGGGGAAGGAGGTGGAAGACGAGGAGGAGGACGAGGAAAAGAAGGAGGAGGAGGAGGAGGAGGACCCCCTCCCCCTCCAACTTATGGTGGTGGTGGTGGAAAACAGGCCCATCACAAAGGGGTGGTGCAATAGACTTGGGGCATTTGCATTGCACATGTACTGCGGCGGAGAATTGTATTGCATCGTATTGCAACTAATGCCACTGCGCGCGAAAATCCAGCAATAAGTTCGGGCCCCGGAACGTATTGCACGCCCCAGACGCATTGCAACCCCACGAACCTATTGCACCAAATCTATTGCACCACCACCTTGTCGCTGGACCCCCTTTTGGGTCAACCCGAAGCATACACGCCAGATTCACGTCGCGATGACGCCGGCGTCGGTCTCTGACACCGCGCGGATCGTCCAACCTTCAGCGATCCGCAGCTCTTCGATCGCCAGCTCTTTACATAGTGGCCGATCCTGGGCCAGTGGCGGCGCTCAACCTTAAACGCCCGCGGCGGGGTCGCCGTCGCGTCAACGCGGCGCGAGCCTGCCGCACGTCCCTGGGATGTGCAGGAACCAGCTCTCGGCGAGGCGCAGCTGCTGAAGGCCGAAAGCGGCGAAAGCTCTCCACACTCATTCTGTCCAGTGCATGCATGCGGTCGGGGCCTGAGAACGTGCTGATGGACGAACGGGCCGCTGGCATGTGCAGATGGATGCATTCCCAGACTGGGGAAACCCAAATGCACCGATGTCGCTACTCCCCGGACCTCGCCTGGGGTGCGCTCTGACCAGGACTTCGAGGCGAATCGAGCGGTGGCGACGAGGGAGGCCCAGCGGATTTGTGCGTGGATTTCTATCAACGCAGAACCCCGAAACGGCGAGTGAAAACCAAGTGAATTTCGCGTGGATGTTTTGAATATTCATTCCTGGCCAAAAAAAATCCGCGCGAAATTCACCTCGAAATCCGGAACGAAATCCTCCAGGACACTCCGGGCTCATCCTACCGCTTTCCGAACGAAGTCCGCTCTGCGGTGTTGGCTCCAAGGAAAGAAGGGGAAAACGAGGGAAGGGTAGCGGTATGGGTACCTTTCTTCGCCAGGCTGCTGGGTGCCACGGCCCGTAGCGTAAGCAAAGGGCCGCCAGCCTCACGCCTCATCGTCCTCACGGAACGGAAGCGTTCGCGCCGACAGCGCCCCTGTGCAAGAGCAGTGCAGCAAGCAAACGACCCAGGGCGAGTCCAGGAGCAGCGACCCACGAACACCAGGAAAGCGGGCCCCAGTGGCCGAGAGTTCCGGAAAGGACATGTCCCTGACCTTAAGTCGGGCCTGTCCCCCTACAGGGGGATTTTCGACGATACATTAAAGATACCCCAAAAATAATCCAAAAGTATTCCAAAAATAGTCTGGGGACTATTTCTTGAGTATGTTTTAGCCTTTCTGGTGTATTTTTGGGGGTATCTTTCGTCGAAAATCCCCCAGTAGGGGGACAGGCCCGACCTAACCCTGACCAGGACGGGCATGGGTACTTTTTTCTCCTCCGACAGACGCCTGACGAGGAAATGCTGCCGTGCGCGGCCCCGCAGAGAGCCC